TATAACCAGGTACTTTCCCCTAAAATGGCTGGGCCTTAAGCCATGCTTGAACACCAAGGGTCCTGTTGCAGGTCCCCCAACACCAAAAATTACTTCAGAGGCGTTCCCTCTGAAGGGGCTCTGGCAAGTAGCACAATGGTTATCTGTCAGAACCTCCCCAGTGCAAACCAAGGAAAGGCTTTGAAACAGCAGCTCAGTGTCAGGATGAGAAGATTTGCTTGACAGAGAGCCAAAGACATCACAACAGCAATTCAGGACAAACAAATGCACACACACAGGCAAAGTGAGTCAGCTTTCCTGAGATTTCCTCAAAGTGGGACACACATGCAAGTGCATTACATCCTGGCTCTGACTGACTCAGGTGTCAATCAGCCCACCCCTTCTTTGCAACAGAAATCATCCCAGGAATTACAAAGTTTAACTTTTCTAAAACAACTGCAGTCTGTGTCATAGAAAGAGGGAGACGTTTTCTGAGAGCTTTCTGAGAGTGTGGGCAAGCATTTCAAGAGCATACACCCTGTCATGTGTCAGGTGACTTGTGGAAATCCTCCTAAGTTTCAGTCCCAAGGGAAAGTCATATATATCTGAATCCATGCACGCTGGAAGAACGTATTCCAAAACAAAGAAATATTCAAAGTTCAGTTTTGAATGTTTATTGTTTTATCTGTGCCTGCTTTTAATATTTATACCAATCTCCATGGCAAAACAAAACCATTCTTCTTTTTTAAGGTAATTTTTTACATTGTAGAAATGCTATGCAAGGAAACAAGGCCATATACAGCGTCCTTGGAGGTCAATGCAAAAACAAATCCAGACCCCTTGCAGGCAGAAGTCTGGCCCAATGGCACAAGCCACCCCAAAGACAAAATTTATGTCTATGAGGACGGCAGGGGTCCTTCTTCAGGAGTAATGGATAGTGCTCACAACCCTTCAATGAACTTTCACATAGCATTGACCAAGAATAATATCTCTTCAACTGCAGTTTTAAGTTGTTTTTGGCTTTGTAAAGCCCCTCAGAATAGCTGTCACAAAGATTTGGAGTTATATCCCCAGGGACAGAATGAACTCTATCCTTTTAGTTGCACATCACAGTCAACCCACTCCTTAAATACCATTTAATACAGGCGTCAAATACAAGTAATTACCATAATCTTCAGATATACAAATATATACTCAGATGACTATAACTAACAGCTGTCAACTTGCAACTAATTTAAAACTTTTCCTCACAAAGTCACTAGGAGCTATATTACCTAGATAGCCAAGATCACAATCCTTTACATAGCTACTCCATCATAAAAATAAGCATGTTTTTCTCCTTTGTGTTTACTCTTTTTCATTGTTAATAATCTACATATTTAGGAACATGGTTTTATTCCCTGATCTCTACTTCTATGAGGACACTGCTTATCGCTCTGAGTTGCTGATGAACCATCTGAGACACTGAAACATGAATTACCCAGCTGGAAAATGCACAAGGTAGTGAAAGAGCCAAAATTTTAACTAAGCATTTCCAGACCCCAAGCACTTAGTTCTTTAGATGCCCCAAGCTCTTTGTGCAGGAATCTTGTTGGAAGATGAATCTAGATGAATCAACAGAGTTAAAATAGGAACAATCTGATCCTTACTTTAATGTGGGGGTGGATTTTTGTTTTTTGCGGGTTTGTGGGTTGTTGTGTTGGTTTTCTTTCTGTGAGATCTCTGGCCTGCCCAGGATCAAAAGTACTATCACACCGTGACAATCACAGAAAACACTTTTCTTCCCAGCCCTAAGCCAGAGCTTGTAGTAGCATCCTTTCTCCAGAGGCTGAGATGGCTTTCTGCCTTGGAGCAGAATGTTTGGTGTCCTAATAGTGTCCCTTCCCCTCCTATTGTGGCTGCAGTGACAGAGGCCATCCAGAGCATCTCTGGTGCCTGTTCCCAGACCTGATTGTCCCTGCACTACCTGGTGATGGTGGTGGCCCTCCTTCATGGTGAGCCTCTCTTTCCAATTTGTAGAACTCACAGTGAATACCTTCTCATGACTTGGCAACCTTGTGTAGATGAATGGGAATTTTGCAAAATATGAGGACACTGGGCTGAAAAGATCCATTCCTTGAACTGCCAAGGAAATTCTCACTGTTTATCAAACAGCCTACAATGTTGGGTTCTGCTATAGAAAACATCAGTTAGCTCTGACAATATAATAAATATTTCAAAGTCATAAGCTGCCTAATGCCAGGCAAAGGAGACAGGATCAAATCAGCTCTTTGCACACCTTGCATCTTTGCAGTGCCATTGAGTCAGGGCCAATCACTTGCTCCTGACTGAGAAATGAATTTGGCAGCTTTGGTATGCCATGGTCATGGCCAGCCAGCAGTTGAACTGAAAAAAATCAGTGCTGGGGTTGGCACCAATCTGAAATTTCTGTATGATATATTCATCCCACATGCAAAAGGTCAGCCTTCCCCACTGGATTCCAGAATCTCAGAAGATCTTGGATGTCTTTCCATTTTCAATTTTCTCTGCACACAACTGAAGCAAGAACTGCGGTGTCTCTACTCCATGTAAAAAAAAAAAATAAAAAAATTGTAAATGCAGAAATATTTCCTGTCCTGGCAAGTTATAAAGAATTAAAGCCAATAGGAAGGATTTTTTAATGACCTCTGATAATGGCTAATACTTTCCACTGGAACAGTTTCCTAGCGATAATGGGATCACACAGACATTTTCTATTTTGGGGTATAATGCTGGTGTTTTCTGAGGTTACTGATATTCTGTTTTTTGTGATGGTAGACGAAATGTTTAAGAAAAAATTGTGTTGAATCAACATATGGAAGTAAACCTTGTGTTTCAAATTGTTATTTCAGTATTTCATTATGATAAAATATAAGAATACCATTACTTCAAAGGACAATTTTTGGTGCAATTTCCACATAGGGTTTTCAAAAATCATATATTATGAAACTTCCTGCTCAATGAAACAGGAGTGAAAACAGCTAAACAAATGCATTTGGACATATTTTCATTAAAATAAGTGTTGAAATAATACAGTCTTTGTGGCAAGAAAATCCCTCCTCCAAAGAATTACAAAGCATTATATTTCATAACAAACAGCACTCATCAGGGGTTTTAGTTCTTGCCCTGCCCATGTTCTAGGAAATTTTTTTTCATAATGCACAGAAAAAGTAATTTCTTCCATGAAGACTTGTTTTTCCGGTCAATATTCAAATACTCTAAGTGACTTATCAAAGAAAAATCTGCTTATTTTAGAGCTGTGCATGATACAGTTGGGATTGTGGTGTCACTTTATATATCTGCTTTGCACTGCTTTTCTCTGTCTGAAATGTATTCATCTGAAGCACAATTTAAAGTTAGTTAAGCAATTTTTCCAATAAATATATTTGCAAAATATGTGTGGTTTGGTTTTGGTTTTGGTTTATTTTCTTTAAATGCAAAGATGGTGGTCCTGTTAATATTTAAGAATTTGCAGACATCAGACCCTCCTAGGCGAGCTGACTTTTATTAATACTACAAACTCTACTATGCTGTCTGTTCATCTTGCACAAGAAAGGGAGTCCACTCCAGAGAGTTTTAAGATGTTTTGTGAAGAGCACAAGTCTTGGTCCCCCAAAATTATACTCTTCCTCAGCAGGATTACTCCAGCACCACAAAACAGACACACCTCTAGTCAAGCATGACCCATCACAGGGTTGGGTGAGACAGTGGAAATGTATTGCTATTAACAATGATGTTCAACTTGAGGATGTGGTTCAGCTTGAAAAACTAGAGGTCTATTAGGAGGTCTTCTTGAGGATGTCTTACTTTCCATACTAGCAGTACGAATCCCAGATTACCTTATTTTTAAATGCGCATGAAAGGGACCAAGGTAGTGCTGCAACAATTTTCAAAGCAGATCTAACCCAAACCTGGTCCCATCTGGAAAGGGTCTGGAAGGTTTCTGCAAGTTCACCACTGGCTGCTAGCAAAAGTAAAGGAGTTTTTATGGCACTGAATGCTGCCTTTTATCTTGAGCCCACCATTTTGCACTACAGCACAGAGGAGAATAAAGCAAAAGCCCCTGAACAGAGAAAGCTACTTTTCTTTTGAAAACAATGTCCATCTTGCCTTGACAGCTGCGCTTTTTCTTTCTGTCAATTAGCTTTGTTGCTTTTACTGTAAACCTGGGACTTGCTGAGAAGTTTTGTATGTTTTTCAAGCTCATGTTTTGCTTGAAGTTCAGGATTCCTGCAGAGCCCAGTGCAACAAAAAAGCTATGGTACTACCTGCTGGGGGACACTGTTTGGTTTCCTGGACAATAAAATGTAACATATTTGTTTAGCTCTTCAGACCAAGAGATATTAACTGGTATACTAGCTCATGGTATATATATTTACTGTAGTAAAGTCTGATCCCTGCTCATTGTACACAGACCCTTTTGAATAACAGCTAAGGGGCATGTACATTTCTACCAGTAGCTTGATATATTTTCATTTATGCTGCCTTGTGGTCAGAAGGCCTTTGAGTAGGAAATCCACAGTGAACAGTCAGCGTGCAAGAAAAGAACAGTTTTGCCTGTTTATGCTTTCCATCAGAATCCTGGAAAGGGCACTTCTTTACAGTCCTCCTTTACCTACCCAATGAATTTTAGGCTTACTGAGGCTTTTCTGCTACCATGCTTGTCATCCAGTACTTGCTGAATGTCACAGATTGGGTTTTGTGGACTGTTTGGGAGGAAGGAACAGGTGAGAATGAGAAATACCCGGCTGGAAGTCCTTGTAAAGGAATGATGAACTCTTCCTTTGTCCTTGCTGGAATGCATATGCTGTTCATGCCAGCTAGGGCCTATATAAATATATAAAACTTGGAGATAGACTGACTTCCACCTGCTGAAGGTTCCAGCCTGTATCCTATTGGTACATTTTGGCATGGACTGTGGTAGCATCACTACTTTCTTTTTTGTAAATGGAGGCTCTACATAGAAAATTTCTGAAGCACCAGTTGAAAAAGACTGAGCTCCATAAAGGTATATTCCAGTTTGTATTATGTAAAGATCTGACCCAAAGACATTTGGGTAAACACTAAATTCTTGTGTCATCTGTGAGAAGTCCTTGCAGACAAATGGTTTTGTCATCAGAGTCATTAGAGATGGGCCTTCTTCCTTTTTTTTCCCCTTTTCAGCAAATTATCTGGAAAATTCATGTTTTGAGTGGCCATACTTCTTGGCAGGTTCAAATGGGACTTGCAAAGGATTTTCAGCTGAAAAAAATTGACACAATAGTTTGTGAATACTTAAGGTACCTATTTGACAACAAAAAATGATAGATGCATTCTCAAAAGCATTTTTAGGCACACAAACAAAACACAAAGGAAGTGTTCCACTTTCACCTGCCAGGACAATCAAAGTTCCCAGTGAAGCCCAGGCATGAACCATTCTCCCACCTGTAGTCTTTTGCTTCCATCACAGCTCTGCTCACCCTTGACTGATTATTTTTCCTTTGGCATGGACAAAATCTTTCAACCAAGGAGAAAGAAAACATACTGAGGATTTCTACAAAGACCCCTATACACCCTGGAAGCTGGACACTGCACATCACACTACCCTTCTAACCAAGATGTATTGCTAATTCTAATGAGTTTTGCTAGAGCAATCCCACAACTTAAATACTACCATGAACTCTCAAACAATAGCATCATTACATTAACTCACTGAACCAGTGGAACTGAAAGAGACCTTAAGCAGCTTCTTTCATCTTCTGCCCACATGCCTGTTAATGCCATGATCCTGAAGAATTTTCTGTGCCAAAGTCATGTTGGACAGAAATTGCACTCTGACATTTTTCTAGCATTTCAGAGAAAGATACTCGAACATCAAGACACCTACTCCTTTGCTGTCCTAACCCTTTGAAAGTTTTGTCTCTGACTTTGTTCTTGTTGTGAAGTGGGGTTCTATTCTCTTTCCTGAAAACTTTCTTCTGTCTACAGGCTATTATCTTTCACTTTGTAGGGGACTAACAATTTTCAATACAGCCTTGTTAGAGTCCCAGGGGCAGAAAATGTCCCTTTATCTGTGCTGACAGGCTCAGGCACTCAAGAGAACATTGGGTTTAACTTAAGACCATTGAGTAGGCTTCTAAAACTGAGTGGAGAAGCTGGGAATGTGAATGTAGAAATTAGATGGAATTATGTTAAGTCACTGGGTGAAAAATACAGAGTTTAGAGTTTGAGATATAGTAGTGAATAGGAGACAAGATGGAGGTTCTTGGGCATTTGCTTATCTTTGCCTTCCTTCTTCCTCATGGATTTGGGTGGTATTAGTTGATTGGACTGAAAAACAGGCAGTGTGGAACACAGGTGTCTGGTTATTGGGTTAAAAGTAAAAAGAAGTTACTTGGCATTTGATAATTGGATAGTTTATGCTTAAAAGGCCTTGTGGACAGAGCCTGAGGTTGCCACTTGTAGCTTGTTAGATTAATGTGAAGTATTTAATGACTGTAAGAATGTAATATAGATAAGGCAAAATAAACATTCTAAGTCTGAACGCGAAAACCATCTCTCTGCTCATCAATCCTGATCCTGAGGAAAAGAACCCACAGACCTTTACACAGCCTCTCCAGAATTCAAAATTATAGTATGGTGGTGAGTGCATTGACACTGGCCAGATGCCAGGCACCCACCAAAGCCACATTCTTACTCTCCTCTAGAGCTGTACTGGGGATAAAAGGAAATAACTAAGGGTTCATGGGCTGATATAAGAACTGGGAGAGATCATGCATTGAATGCCATCAGGGGCAAAACAGGCTCAACTTAGAAATATGAAGCGAATTTATTACTGACAAAATCAGAGCAGGACAATGAGAAGTAAAATAAGCTCTTAAATACACCTTCCCCTCCCCCCAGCTGGATCTTCTACCCCAGCAGCACAGGGAGGCAGGGAATGGGGGTCATGGTCAGTTCATCACCCAGGGCTTCTCCCACTGCTCAGGGAGGGGAGATGTTTCCCTGCTGCACTGTGGGGTCCCTCCCACAGAAGCCAGTTCTGCATGAACTTCTCCAATGTGAGTCCACTCTGCAAACTGCTGCAGTGTGAGTCCATCCCATGGGCAGCAGTCCTCCCAAAACTGCTGCAGCCTGGGTCACTCTTACAGGGTACAAGTCCTTCAAGGACAGGCTGCTCCAGCATGGGGCCTCCCTTGGGTTCACAGATTCCTTTGTGCATCCACCTATTCCAGCGTGTGTCTCCCCCATGGGCTGCAGGTGGATCTCTGCATCCCCATGGACCTCCCTGGGCTGCAGGGGCACAGCTGCCTCACCATGGGCTGTACCACCGGTGCCAGGAAATCTCAGCTCCCTGGAGCACCTCCTCCCCCTCCTTCTGCACTGACCTTGGTGTCTGCAAAGTTGTTTCTCTCACATGTTCTCACTCCACTCTTCTTTGGCTACAATTGCATCTGCACAATAACTTTTCTTTTCTTTCTTATTAAATCTGTTATCACAGAGGCATTACCACCATTTCTAATTGGCCCAGCCTTGGCCAGCAGAATACCTGTCTTTGGAGCTACCAAGGATTGACTCTGCTGGACATGGAGGAAACTTCCAGAAGCTTCTCACAGAAGACACCCCTGTAGTCCCACTGCTACCAAAACCAGGCCATGCATACACAATACAAACATTTTGATGGGTAAGACATCATCTTTGGAGATGTGATTTTGATACGTGGGTTACACATGTACAGGAGTGTTCTAGGCACATGGCTTCAGACAGTTGTGAAGAGAAAGTACAGGAGTCTTGTTATAATTTGCAGAAGTCCCCTTATGAAATATATGGTACCATATGACTTTTGTGGAAAAATTAATTCAGAAAAATCTGCATTTAAAATTCAAATATATAACACCTGTATCTCATTCCATTCTAAGCACTGCTGAAAGGGCTGGCCTGTTGTTTCCTGAGATGAAAATCATATGCGCTGCTTTGGGAAACCAGATTCTATGGTCAAGCTCGAACAAAATGCTTGAACTCTTATTCTAGGACAAAAACCAATACCCTGCAATTACTCTAATCACTGCAGGTTTGGGACACTACTGTTCAGCACCTCAATTAAACAAACATAGGACCCTACTTATCATATTCAGACATATTAACACCTCTGTAAACTCCAGATTCTAAAAAGTCCAGGAACAAGTAATTTCAATTATGAAAGCTAAAATCATTTTATTCCTTATTTACAAATTTCTAAAATGTTCTTCATGAAAGAACTTAACTAAACTTAAACCGTTTTTCCAGAGTAAGATCCATGATGGTAGGCTACATTCTTATTTTATTCTGAGTCATGGTATACTATTCTTAAATTTAGAGGAAAACCACTCTGAATGACTCCTGAAAGAGGGATTAATATATTTTAAACAGACTTTCTGTACACAAGCAACACTGAAACACTGTCTTTCCCTCCATAAAGATTTGACTTCATTATACCAAATGCTAAAGACTGTCTCACTAGGCAGTCATACACTTTGAGCTCATTTCCTAAAAAGTGTTTTGATTTCCTAGTAGTGTAGCAGGCACCAGAGAAAGATAGGAGCTGTATTTTTCCTGTGTTTATTATTTTCTCTTCCTACTGGAGCTTTCTTTTTGACTCATTACATTTTTCCCATTGCAAGATTTGGTCAGAGTCCAGGGGATTGCGGTCAGGTTCTGCAGGGATTTTTTTCCTGGTTCTTTCTCTCCATGCATATTTCATGTGCCCATTACTTTAGGTGCCATAAACACAAATTAAAACCAGCATCATTTCTGTCAGAAAGGGCCATATTTCTCTACTCATTCATTATTTATATTGCTTCCTTAAGTGGTGTTCTTGCTTGTTTGTCTCTAATAGAAGATACAAATTATTTCACAGCCTTTGTTCATTACCATGATTGGGCTGATCAGCAGCTCCACTGAACTTTAAAAACAATGAGGCTCATCTCTGCTGATAGATAAATCCATGACCAATGTTTACTGCTGAACAACCTGTCCCAATCAGCCACAGAAACCACATTAGCCTTACTTTTCACCCTGTGTCATGGCTGAGATGATTTCTGTGCTTTGGGCCCATTTGAACATCAAGTATTTAACCTCTGCACCTAGAATGGACTAGGAACTCACATGGTGCATAACCAACCTCCAAATATGAGTAAATAAAGATGTCCCCTGCATCACCGGTGTCTGGTCTGGTGAACTTCACCTTCTTCTCAGAGACAAGTTCATTTAAAAATCTGTTTGATTTCTCTCTCCTGATTCTTAGATAAGGATATCTCCAGATTCCCTCTAATTTTTATAAAACTTCCTTCTTATTTCATCCTGTATTTATACAAGGCCAGATTTAACCCAACTTTTCTTTCTTGGTGTCAGCATTATTACTGTCTGATTACATAGTTCTTTCCACCACAGTGGATTACCAACCAATGTACCTTGAAGAAACTGCTGCAGAGTCTCAGACATTTCATTTTGTTATGCAGAAAATGGGTCTGTAAAACTGAAGCAGAGACCACTCCACTAATCTTAACCACTGTTCATCTGAGGGCTGTAAAGATCATGACACGAAAGTGCCTTGCATTTTCCTAGGCAAATAGAGGGAGTTGGTTTCCTACAATCAAAGCCTCTACTTTTCACATTTTTTATCTGTTCCACACAAAGATGAAAGCCACACATTCCCTTTAAATAACAGAAATGAGCTTCTCCGTGTGTCATGTGAATGAAGACAAGCACTGAGAAGAACATCTATTGCTTTGAAATTCATAATCAAATTGTGGGGCTTGACCATGCTGCATAAATTCTACTTTATTTGAGTAGATCAGAGTCGTCGGTAGGTCTTGTCATCATGTGCTGAAATGATGACAGTGAGCCCACCCTAAAGAGGTTCTAGAGGACTCCCATCTGTTACCAGAAGAGTCTGTCAGGACACTACATAAGTGGAAGATTCCTATCACAGAAGACACAGGGCATTTGAAGAGCACTCAATACCTGTGGTGCTATGGATATCTTATTGAAGGAGAGGCAACAGCTCAGGTCCAGTACACTTAATCCTCATAATTTTGTGAATCCCAAAAGGACCAGAACTTTATTTGAGAGCAATCTGTGGTTTCTGGAGCTGACTTTGCAATGAACCTGACTTTCAGCACCAGTTCTGCTGTCCTCTTGGAGAGCTGAAGGACAGTCAATAAAGGCCTTGACAATGGGTATTTGCTGTAGGCTGGTGTATTTCTTTACTTTCAATATGTCCCAGCTAGGAGTGGGGAAGGTACAGCATTTACTCTATGGGAATACAATCTGCTTGGGAAGAAGGAAGAAGAGAAGGGAAGGAAGGAAAAAGGAAGGAGAAAGAAGGGGGAGGAAGGACAGCAAAAAATCAGGCCAGTCCATGAAGGTCAGTGCTTTCCCAGGCTAAAATTAAATACCAAGTATGACCCTAAGACCTACCAACAGTTTTCCTTCTGCCATCTATCCTTACTCTCAAGAGGCTCTGATAACAGAGATAACTGTTCCTGCAATATTTACAAACATTTTCACTCATTTCCAAAAATTTCTTTCCTCCCTTTCTCTTTAGGGAGTCCTTTAGACAGCAACGAAATCTCTAAAGCAGCAGATCTCTATCAGAATAAAGGAACAGTATTTAAAATTAATTAAGAAAACTATATTAGGCAGGTTATGAGCCCTGGGTTTTTCAGAGACATCACTCTCTCTCTGTGTCTTCTGCAGGCAGCAGCAGAGCAAGGGCAGCACAGGGCTGATGACAGGGCAGGAGAGCACTGCCACCAAGTGCAAACCCAGGTCCTCCACATCCTGGTGCCAGGAAAATGGTTTTTAAAAGCCCCATTCACACCCTCTCTTCTGTTCCTCGCCTTAATAAAACTGTCACAAGTCCCACAGCTGGTCATATTGGGCTTTTTTGATTTTGCAGGCTGTAATTACTCCATCATTTCATCATTTTTACTCTGTGAACTATTATCTCAGCCTGTTCTTTCACACCTTCTTTTTAATCATCAGGTTTTTTAAGTAACTCTGTATCGACAAAAACTGTTAATATCACTGACCTTTTTAAGAGCTGATTATATTAACTGTGTGATGGCAGGGCAGAGAGCAATCTGTGAAGTGCAGAAATAAGAAATCTCCCAGCTGCACTCAGAAGAGGTAGAAGAACATGGCTTCAAGACTTAGAAGACAAGATTAGGTCCTTCCTACATGGGAGATATGGCCTCAAGATTTAGAAAACAAAATTAGGTCTTGGCTATGTGAGGATGCTGAGGAAATGTAAGCTGACCTAATTTAAGGTGTAGATTTAAATTTGATCAGGCAAACCACATTGTATTACAAAGATAATTAAAAGAAACAGAATTAAGGTCTATTTTAATTTTTTTTAAAAGTCACCTGAGTGAGGCAATGCAATTTTACCAATACATTTAAAATAAATTCCTGCAGGTCCCGTCCAGGCACAGACTAGTCCCAGATCACAATGCTAGTGTAAATAGAAGTGGCCGGAAAATGGTGATGTTCCCTCCTGTCATGCTTTCTGGCACTTTAATTTTCTGAAATTAATTTTGTTCTGCTCCACACCTGTGTCAGAGAATGCAGCCTTGCTCCTGCCTCCATTGTCTGAATGCTAGGCAAATATGCAATGATTCTGTCTCTGGTTCAGCCACCTGAAGAATGGGGAAGCTACTTTTCTTTAGAAAGGGTAAATGATGAAGAAAATATTTATTAAATACTCTTGTCTGTTCGGCACTGAAAGATATAAGTATAAACAGAAAAACCCATACTCAGTTGTCAAAGTAAGGACAGGCAGGCCAGTTCCTTTATTTTCCTCTCCTCATTATACAATTAAAAATAATAGAAATGTTTGTGCCTAGCATTTAAATATTTATACTATCAATGAAATCAAGCAAAATTCCCTATAACTATAAAGAATGTAAAATTTGAGGTCAGACTCTTGTTTTCAGAATCAGGCAATATTTAGGAACTTCAACTTGACTCTGCTCCATCACAGTCTTCAAAAGCAGCCTATGCCTTGTTCCATCCTCTGGATGTCAGCAAAATTGTTAACAATTGCCATGGACAAGACAATTAACAAAGCTAATAAGCAATTCCTTCCTGGCTCAGCTTCACGTCATAGTTAAAGGTTAAGGAAATAAAATAAGGGAAATGTTAAAGGCTGTTACTAAAATACTGCATTTTATTTCCAGCTTCATAACAGTAAAGTGGACTCCACAGTGATGCCCTATCATCTCTTTCTTGATGATGGCTACATTAAGTCATACTGCTACTTAGTTTTATTATAGTGGGAAATATGTTCCCACTGGAGTTTGGGGAAAATTAAATGTAGGCTGGAAAAATCACTGAGAACACAGGGAGCCAGCTGAAAAATCCCTTGCTTATTGAGAAACAAGTGTCCTGGACAAGTGGCTACGCATCAAAATGGGCAAGGCAGGAAGTTTCTCATAGTCTTGCTCTGATGTGGCCACATGAGACTTTGCCATGCAAGATCTCTGCTGAGCATCTGCACCTTGCTCAGAGACTGTAAACCGTGGCATCAGCCTATTGTGAAGACCCTGCCAGTTAATTAATTAATTAATAATTAATTGGTAATTAATAATTAATTATCAATTAATCACAGCTATGTTCTGTCTTGTGTGCTTCACGGGAAGAACCAACGTTAGGCAGGGGCCATGCTGCTGGGGCCGAGGAGGCACAATGGAGAAAGTTGGTTTGGGTCTTTAAATGTCCCTTTCCTAGGGAGAGATTGGAAAGGTAAAACAGCCTGAATGTTATTTTCAGAGAAAAACACATGCACCCAAGGCACATGCTTTCAGGCCAAGTCATCCAACGGGTTTTCAAATCCAGCCAGGATCTTCAAGGTGGGATGTGCAAATAAGAACAGGAAGAGAGGGACAGTGACTGACCTTAAACCACTTTCACAACAAACCTTTGCTGGATTTTGACACTAAGCCCTTCAGTGCTGTGAAGTGAAGGAGCCCAGCCAGGCAGACAAACTGAAGCGTGGTACTCCCAAGCAGGTGCCAAAGCACAACAACCTTGAAATGGGAAAGTGGGTGTAAAGGACCCCTCCCAAATGTGAGATCAAAGGTTGGGCATTCCTTCCAGGACAATACTTCCAGATGTCAGCTTTTGGGAGGAAAAGTACAGTCAAGAACATTGTGCAGCTGCAGGGAAATACCAAACACTTGTTTTGGCACAAAATTAATGAAGTCAGGGAAAAGATCCTGATTAAATCTATTTTTTAACATACTCTGAGGCGGAAAAATAATGCAGTAGTAGAACAAAGATAAAGAGAAAGCCAGCTCATACAGGATATTTACATTAAGCAGGATAAGCCCTTGCAAATGTGCAGTAGGGATTAATTGCACTATGGCAGAGATGGACTAGATGACTTACTGTAACAGTTCTGGAGGTAGCTAACAGCCAGAATAAGTCATCTTGAAAATGCAGCAAGGAAGCTTAGTGTCGCAAAGATTCACGGCAGAAATGGCACAGTTATTCTGCATGATAATAAGAAAAAGCACAAAGGGTGAATTAAGGACAGAAGGTTGGTCTTGCACTTTAATTTCATGATTTTTGTCAGGCTATATTGTAACTTAAACATTCCTAAGAGGTACGGCAATTCTGTTGACTGCAAAATTTGTATCTGTTTTATTTTTGCTTTTCTTTTTCTCCTAAACAGGAGGGGGAAACATCTTATGGCAGATTATTAAATCATAAGTGGCTGAGGCAGCTTGGCAATAAGCCCTTTTATGGGGACGAATGTTGGAAATAAGTCTGTTTAGTGTGTGCACTACATGGTTATATCACTATTTTTTTAGATTTTTTTTTTCAGGTAATCACCTTTTAAACAAAACCTCAGTCTATATAAGAAAGATTTCTTTACCCTAGAGACTCAAAAAGCTCTCAGGGAAATGTATATTTAGACTTCTCCAGAAAGTGACTTATTTACCCTGTTCAATACATTAAATCTGAAGATTTGACAGACATCAGGCCTCCCCAGGAACTGTTTTGTTCTGATAAGCAAATGTGCATTTCATGCCTGCTTAACAGGGAAAAATAACTGTATTTGCAAAATATCTTGTAATGACTTTAACGAGGTGTTTAAACATCACTAGCATTTTCAACCCCCTACACGTAAAGCAAACAAACACAAAGACAGTCAGTACTGTCCCTCTACAGGGGGATAGTCAGCTATAGTGAGGGCTTTGATTCAGGGTTGGTGAGCATTTACATCTCTGAGGCATCTGCTGTCTTCAGACAGGCAGTCATTTTGTCTTCAGACTGGAGCAGGCAGTGGAGAGTCTACAAAGAATATGTGCTTCTTAAAAATGTAATTGACTCTTCTCTCACTAAGGGTATTCTAACTGAGAGCACATGGCTTCTACCCATGTAAAGGAAAGCAACATTTTTACTAAAACAAGAGTTGTTTATATAGGAAGAATGCTATTCCAGGCTATCTTTTCAAGGTGGCTTGAAAAAAATGATGTCAAGTGCAATAACTAAAAAGAAGGAAAAAATCAATCTCTTTGTTTAGCATGGGGAGCTAGATCGACCCTGCAGCAAGAGCTTATATTTTTCCCAGATGGTTATGTTTCCCCAAAGACAAACTCAGAATTGATTATTTTTTTTTCCCAGCCCTCTAGATTTTAGAGAAAGGGAAAGGGAACAAGAAAGGGAAAGGAACAATATAAGAATTCAGACAAGCCACCTAGATCCTCTTTGTTTCTCTTCATATGCAAAAGGAAAGTATCAAGGACAGTTTCCCAACTGATGACTGTTCATACCATTTAAATTATTAAGATCTACTCTAGCCAGCAGCAAAGTGACTGCCAGTGGTTTGGGCATCTCCAGAAGAAAAGTCAGGAGTTCCAGAGAATCTGAATGGATGAATGTGGAGCCTGGTTTCAGAGAAATATGAGATACTTTGGTGAGTAGCAACAGGGTGGCAATTTGCATAAGAAACTGATGATAATATTGACACTGTCACTTTCTGGAAATAGCAAACCATTTTTAGAATTCTAGTGAAAACTCTTCAATTTTTATTGAGCACATTATGAGATATCCAGTGTAGAGGCTGGAAACTAAAAGCTGCAGAAGAATCAGAGGAGGACAAAGAGACAGGATCAAACCCAAAAAAGTTAAGTAAAGATGCAAAGGATACATTGCTATCAAATTTTCAACTCAACAAGGCTTTTCCTTTGGGACTGCAGTAGGGAGAATTTCACACATTGAGTAAACAGAGGCACTGGTATGGGAAAAACAGATTTTCAAACCGTGTTGAAACACAATGAAGAGGGGATAAAATAAAATGCTACAATTCCCTTGGCTTTATGACTACAATAGATGCAAGCTTTTCTCTGCAAGAGGTACTCTGAATTACTCTGCTCATACAGGCTTATATGTCCTTCCACTCCAGGGCACCTTCTCTCTTCCCTTTCTTCCTCTGCCTCAAACTCAGTACAGATGACCAACTTGTGACAGTGGATGTTTCTCTTTCAAACCTCTCAGTGATGGGGGTTCCAGTTTTACCACCATAGTTATAAAGGATGTTCAAACACCAAATGTGGAGAAGAAAAATCCCTACATTAAATTATATTTTCTGATGGATGTAATCATAGTATTTTGCTCTTATATCTTATATAATGTTTTTCATTCAAAGATCTCTGAGCTTCTAATTGATTATTTAATTAACTCACAAAATGTTCCTGTGATCTACTGAAGTATTGAAATGGGTGAGCAAACTAGTATAGATGAGTAAAGTCATTAGTCAAGATGACTAACAGATGAGAAATGTACTAATAAAGGGTAATTGTGGTAAAAGAAAATGAGCTAGAAACAGGTTAGAAGAGCAATTTTTAGAGAATAGTTCTGAACACCTACACTCTTCCATATCCAGCAGAAGCTGTGATAGTTCAGAAGTATCTAAAAACTGACTAGGTCTGATTTACCTAGGTAGGCTGACATGGACAGAAGAGACACTTTTGAGACAAAAGTGTGTTTGTGGCATAGGAACACAGTGCTGAACGTACCCCCTGAACAGGCTGAGCTGAGTCCACTCCCTCACCTACATGGACAACCATAGAAAAATTGTTTAGCCTAGGAGTCCCTATGGAGCATACACTACTCACCACCCATCTCCAATGTCAGTTGTCATTTTAGATGAGGATACTGTCCCAGAAGTCTGTCCTGAGTGGATCTCACTGTCGCCTGCCTCCAATGGTTGATATGTGATCCCCTTCCCGCACAGGTATCTTTACCAAAACTGCATGACCAAGACAACCATGGTTCTATTTGGTCATGCCATGCTCAGTTTCCCTGCACTCTGTGGCTCACCAGCACCTTCTCCAGAAGTAACAGGAGAGAGGAGCAGAGAGAGACTGGATCATTTATTTCCCCTGTTGAGTAGTGAGGGTACCAAAGGGCTGATGGATGCAGAGTAATGCTTAGGTAAGATTGACAACTATTTCCTCCTGCTTCATACACATAACCAGCACCCACCTGTTTTCCTCCCACCCAGAGATATTTTTGAAAGCTTCTTCTAGCAAATTTCTGCACCAAAATTAAACCCATATAGCAGTCAGCCTTATTGCCGTGTTCCCACGTCAGCTGTGTGTCATGACAACAGATGATAGAAATGCTGCTATTCAGGCTTCAGGGTACGTGTTTCTTTTTCTTTTTTTTTCTTTTCTTTTTTTTTCCTTTTCTTTCTTTTCTTTTTCTTTTTTTTTTTTTTTAATTTAATTTTAATAGTTTTAAAAAGAGCTCTGAACAAAAGTGCTTGCTCCATGATGCAGCGCCAAGCTAAAGCACGCAGGGCAGGTATGTTGCCCACATGCCAACAGGCAAAAATAAGTAGAGTGGGTGAGGTTTCCTGTGGTGCTGTGGGGGCTGAGGGAGAAACACTTTGAGGAAAAAAGGAGATGACAAGATAAGAGAAAATGGAGAGGCATAAGCAGAAGTGCTTCCCTTCCCTGAGCCCCTCCCCTGTAGGCTTTCAGCAGTGGGGCAGCTCCACACATGGATGTCTCTGTACTGTCCTATGTGTCCTAAAACTGGTCAAGCCTCCTTGCTGTGGGATGCTCCTTGGCAGACTCCAGCTTGATCCACCAGGAAGGGCCCTGTTTGTCTCACCCTGGTCTGCAGTGAAGGAAGGGAGTTTTGAATTTCCAGGCAGGAAAATCTTGCTCTGCAAACATCATCTGAATTATTCCATGGGAGTAAAGCTCTGACAAATAAAAGCCTCCTCACACAAAACTGTGTTATTTGCACAAGACATAATTTCTACCAGGTCAGACATGAAGATTCTCCCTTCTACTCAAGGATTCAAAATTTATATATATAGCTTTGGTTTTGGTCATAAGATTTTTGTTTGGCTTTCATATGATTTGGGGTTTTTTTAATGTAGCTAGATCCTCAAGGAAAAAAAAAGAAATTAACCCAGTGAAAGCATGGTCTCAGTTACTTTAGGATCAGGCTATGCAAGGGCAGTCAGAAGCTCACAGAAGAGGGCTCTCCAGCTGGAACTGCTGCCGTTCACAGCTCATACTTCAGTAATCGTCACATTTGTTTCTGTTTCACAGCATCATAAAAGACAGCAAGCAACCCTGAGCCGAGCAAGAATTTAAATATGTCTTTGAGGCCTTTCCCATTTAGAAAATCGCTTGTGTCTGTGTTTGATACTAAGGGCTGCTTCTGAATATAAATGCTTCCCTGAATCAGGGCTACACAAGTATCAGAAGCTTAGATCAAGGAGCTGATCTGTCCAAATCAGACATTGGAGACATGATGAAATGCTGCAGATCTTCCCTTTAATGAAACTTAGTTTATGAAAACCCTTTAATAAAGCTGCAGTGAGTATATTTACATTCCCAAAAGAGAAGAGCTCTCTCTCAAAACAAAAAAAATTACCACAATTAATAATATACTGATATTCTTCATAATGCCAGTAGATTGCAAGTTTTTGTTGAGCTGTTCATCATTTTGAATTTTCATGCATGTCTTTGTTCCACAATCACATCTACACCCGCTGGGGCACTTTAGGGACTAAAATTCATTGCTGCATATTAAAAATAGCAAATGAATCTCATTATTTCTTTTGTACCTCTCCAGTTTATTCAGCATACAAAAGACAGAATCAATAGCATCCTGCCTCAGGAATAGGGTTATTTTTGTATTTTTTTAATACTGCTGCAGATTTTTGGCTTTACTCTTGAAACTGTGATGTGCTGCACCAATGTATTTTCACTCTGCGTTTTCAGATCATCTGCATTTTGCTGTGCTAATCCTGGATGTTTAATATCAAGGAAAATAGTATTTATATCCCATTCATCTCTTTCTCCAGCATCTCCTGTGTCTCTGCATGTTCATTTTCCATTGCCAAGAGTCTGAATATTCAGAAATATTCAAAAATTTGCTTCTCAGGGGTGCAGATCCAAGTAAGCACTTACACCTAAGCTTATGTATAATTTAAGATAAATTTGGGCTTGAGGAG